GCTCCAATCTCAAGCCTTCTACTGTTTCTCCAAAAAAATGGTTAAACTTCTTTTCCCACAGTCATTGCTTAGAGCCATTGTCAGTTTGTTATACTACAGAGTACTGCATGATGTTGGAAGAAAAATTAAAACATGAATGAATAACTATTTTTAATATCCTGAACATCGATGTTGAATTATTTTAAAATAGCTTAGTATAAATTCATGACTTGTCTTAATAAGTTGAAACATATCAGACAATCTACCAAATTCCTTGTTCCTTTTAGGAGAAAATAAAGGTAAACACAAATAGAAAAACTTAAGTTTAGGAGTGAGAGTAGGAATAGTAGACGTGGCTTCTATCTTTGGTACCAGCATCTCCTATGGGTGCTGAGTTCAGGTACTTGTTGCTCCACTTCTAATCTGACACCCTGCTTATGGCCTGGCAAAGCAGCAGGGAATGACATGAGCCCTTGGGCCCTTGCAGCCACTTGGGAGACCTAGAAGAGGCTCCTGTCTCCTGGATTTAAATCAATTCAGTTCCAGTCATTGCAGCCATATAGGGACTGAAACAAGAGATGAAATACCTCACTCTGTCTCTCCAGTGTTTATCCAAAACAGAAGTCCAAACTTCTAAATGTCACTATTAGTACTTGAAATTACTCTGGGTTTGCATCATGATGTCAGAATAAACACAAAACTTTCTACACCTTCTAAAAAGTTCTCTCTTCAAATTTTACATAATACACTAGACATCTAGTTCTCTACTTGAGATAGAAATGAAGATATAAGGGATATTATCAGGATTGGTATAATTTATAAATATGTAATCACTCAAAATAATGATAATTTTACAGGGTATAATAAGAGGAACAGGCTTGAAACAGACTGCTCAGAAAGGAATGATTTATTCTCATTTATCACTGTCAGACTCCAAAGCCAATACAGTACAGTCCAAGAACATCTCTGAATTGCACAAATTCAAGCTTCTCTATAGAGCATAATGTAAATCATGTTCATACACTCTTGCCCTGCAGGGGCTGCCCTACTGCAGTTCCATCTTGGCAGGAAAAATAAATAAACTTGGCCAACAGGGAAGAATGAGATGTTTTAGAAGCACATGGTGTATCTTCAAGAAACCAGAAAAAGCTAAAATCAGAATAAAAGGAAATCAGGACAGCTCTAGATGCCCAGCTTGGGGACCTAGGATAATCGCTTTCTACAGCGTGTTGCAATTCACTTTACTTTTCAGACATTTACTTGCTTTTCCCAAGAATCACATTCTGTCCTCAGGACAAGCACAAGTTTTAATGCTGCTAAGAGTATAAGTATGAAGGTTAGACAAATGATTCTTCTGTGGGAAATCAAGCCATTGTCAACAATACACAGATATCAAGCTGTTGTCTGTCCCCATACACAGTTATTAGCTTCTTAGGAATAGTTCTTACCTGTTAGAAGTAAATGGTGATGCTATTTTCTAAATTAGGAAATTTTTGCTAGTACTCCTAATACCGCACTTGATAACATCAGTATTATTCTTGCATATTTATATGAGCATAGAATGCTTAACAGAGCAAAAGGAAAGGCTAGGTTTATTGAGTAATTAATAAAATGTTTTCCCAGTAAATTCAGATTCTGCATGACAAATTATGATGTACAAATTATGCATGTGATTAAGTTGCTATGAGAAGTAAAAATCAGAGTGATAATAAATACCACTACTGCATGTTAGCCTGTGTGAGATTCACAAAGGGAGTTCACAGTAAATGCCAAGTATCACCAAATCTAACAAAAAAGCATAAATGTTCATTCAAACATTACACGCTATGATGATTGTAGGTATTAGTATTGGCTTGGAAAATTACCATAATTTTTTTTGTGTTGACTGTCAGCTTAGAAAATTGTATAAGTCAGTGTATATGTGTGTGTATATATATATATATAGTTTGTATAGTATTTTTTATTATATCAATCACAGCATAATTGAAACAAGCCATATTTTTCTTGAGTAAATCAGATTTTATTGCACAAGGGACAAAGAACACGTATAGACAAAGGAATGTGTAACTATGGATTAAATCCTCAATATCTACACAGTAGTCTGGTAGAGCCTGAAGATCCAATTTGCTTGAATTTCTGTGAAATATTTTTGGTCACCTGAACATACATAGTTTCAGTATGTGACCCCATGGAAGCAGGAGTTAAAGAAGAGACCAAATCCAGCGGGCAACTACACTTGAAAAATAACTTCTGGGTAGATGTCATCTTTCAGGGTTATTCAATAGGATTTCTTTGTCTCAGTGGGAAATCCTATTTCATACTTTGTTATCATTTCACAGATAATAGACCTGTTGAGATCGTTGCACTAACAGTGCAGGAAATTATAGATAGGAGCTTTGGGTTACAAGTTCACCACACGACAAAAATGATTTTTCTTTCAGTTTTACATAGCCTATTTTTAGGCATTATATCCAATTTCTATACTGAAACTTGTAATGATATAATAATGAAATCAAATTCATCTACAGTCTTGTGCTTTATCTTTGCTATGTTTTTAATTTCTATGATTATATCTGCTTAATTATTTTTAAGTGCCATGAAAATATATGTTTGCTGTACCTGGTATGCTTTTAAGAAAATAAAATATATCTCCATTTTTTTCCCCAAGTGATGTGTCATTTGTTTGGTTTTTCTAAAGGAGTGAATCACTGAGTCTGGCTAGAGCAGTGTATTTCTAAACAAGGAAAATCAAAGTGATTATATCATATTAAAAATAGTCAGTTAGGAGAACTAACAGTAGGGACATCAAAAGTGTATCTTTCTTTGTAACAGAGCCCCAACTAACTTCTACAAGATTGACAAAATGATCTTTCATTAAAGTAGGTAAATTGATTAGTCAACAATAACAATTAAGTAGGGAGAAATTCATATATTCATTATTAGATATATTAAGTACTTAGAACATTTTCTTAAAATACTTTTATTTTATTCAACCTCAGCTTATAATCAGAAGAGAATCAACCTTGCTGTCAAAACTTGGGTAGCATTGATTTTCCTGGGTGTTTGTTAAGGCAAATGAAAAAAAATATAGTTATGAAAATTTTCCTGAAAGCAAGTTTTTTTAATGAGATAAAAAAAAGTCGATTTTATTTATAAGAAGACACTAAGGACTTTTTAGGTCTATATCTTATAAAGATCAGAAATTTGGGTATAAAAGGACAAGTAAAGGATGATACATGCTTTCTACTTAACAATCATTCTCAACCGTCAAGAAATTCTGTTTCATCTTAAGCGTAGGAGAAAGTGTTACTTAATAAGGTGTCTTAATTCATTATTTTATTAAGACCTGCATATTTCTTTACTCTCTAATGTATTGACTCTGCCGAAGTTTTCTTCTGTGTATACAGAAAATCTAGCCTAACCATGTTGTCCATAATATCACTAAAATATTTTATACATTATCCATATTATTTAATACATTTCCTTCTCTTATTAATTCGTACAACTAAAGGTATTACAGTCTCATGTTCAAATTTAAAAACTTCCAGTTACTTTCAATTTTGTTCAAAGGATTAACCAAATTTATTTTTCGAATGATCTTAATTATAATTCCATAGTGCCTCTCACTGTGCTGTAGAACAGTGTCAGAGTTTTCATATAAATTTTCTTTGCTCTCATTGGCTGATTGAATTCTCTTAACATAATTTGCTTGTCCAGGCTGCTATACATATGTATCCTTTCTCTCATGTACTGTTCATTAACAAAAGATACAGGTCCTACTCACCTTTATTAAGGGCACGCTGTCTGAGTTCGGAAAGATATGACACCATTAACAAATGCATAGTTGCCTAGCATTAGATTGATTTTCCTCAGTTGGCATGGTGGAATTATTTCAGACCTAATTTGAATACATATCAGAGGTTTTGTGTGGAAAGAGAGAAAAAGAAAAAAAAACAGAAAGGATAAATTTTCTAAATTATCTGTGATGGTAAAATACTAAGCTGCCTTCTTTATTGAATGCTTAAAGAAAAAATTAAAAAAAAGCTTGTTATCTGGGAATGTGAGAGAGCCACTACCCCTTGAACGCTTGGTTTTAGTGGGGGAATCAGGCAACCCACTGGGGTCATTCATTCTTGATGTGTTGCATTTTCAACCTTGCAAGTAGACGGAAAACTTTCCACAGAGGTCAGGGAATTTGTATTATTTTTTAATGGCTTTGTTTTTACTTTTCTGTTTGAAAGCAGGATTACTGGACATGTCATGCTCACAAGTATTTCTTTCTTAAAAGCACTAGAAATGGTCCTTTTGTCACTAGTCTCAATGGCACTAAGCAGACAGGTCCATAGAATTTAAACGCAAAACCTAAGCCTGTCTGCATTGTTACAAAGTATACATCTGAGGACAAATGTGATCTCTTCACAGCTGATCGTGGCAGACACAAGACAGTGCTGGGTTACTTAGAACCAATGGTTCCTTACCAAAAATAGGGAAATCAATAAAACAAAAAAATAAAAGATTATAGTCTAAATATAACTAGCTTATTTTCTCTTCCTAACATGGTTTCCTTTTCACTTGCCTCCATTTTTGTTAAAGAAGTAGAAATGACTTAAAACTTTTCTTCAAGCAGATCAGTAGAATTTTACATGTTTGTACATTCCATTTTGTCAATGGAAGAAGCAGTAAAAAAAAAAGTTTGTTCTATGCCTGACCCAAATGTACAGAAAGATGAGAAATCCATCTCACATATAATCTACCTTCTGTTGGAAATTAAAAATGAAATGGAATACAGAAATTAAATATTTTATTGTGGTGAAGAAAAAAACCTCAGTGGCTTTAAGTTGCAGCATTTTTTTTTTTAATACCAAATGGGCATAATTATTGAGACAATCAAAAAACCTGGGGTGCTGCGAGGGTTGCTCCACGGAGCAGCGCTGGGCCGGGCGCGGGGCGCAGCTCAGCCCCAGGAGGAGCTGGAAGCTCACAGGTGAATGTGGTCTTCAGCTGCTCAGCCCCCACCTAGGATGGCACCTGGGCCACACGGACCAAGACAGCATACCAGACTTCCACACAAGGCCATAGACAAACGATCCTCCGAGAAGTTCGAGTGTGACAAAGGACGTCTTGTGAAATCAGAATTACAGAAACTGCCCCACAAAAATGATGGTGCTTCCTTGCCAAAAGTGGTGCCCGGGACCCGTCCGGAGTGTGTTTGCTGGGGTCAGTGCGGCGCTGCAGGGCCCTGCGGCTGATGCCACTGCTCACAAGGAGATGGCCAGGCTGCCGCTCAGCCCCCTGCTCAGCACAGATTGCAGACCACCAGTCCAGGCCGCAGCCCGGGGCTGTGCCCGCCCCGAAGATGCCCAGGGCTGCTTGTGCGCCCCAGGCCGAGCCCGGCCGGAGGCAGAGGCTGCCCGGGGGCCCCAGGGCTGGGGATGGACAATGGTGTCTTCCTAGGACAGTAACCAGACGCTGTCCATCAGCCGCTTCTTCGGCAACGTGGAGCTCATGGAGGACCTGCCGCCAGCGTCTTCATGGGTCCCGCCGTGAGCAGATGAGAGTTCAGAAAAATGCATTTCAGAGCCAAGGAGGACAGGGAGGATGATGGCACTGACTGGTGCCCGGTGCCCAGGAGGCGCAGGCAAAGTGGACAGCGTTGGCCTGAGAGTGTAGTGAGGCTTCTGAGCGGGCCGGGGCAGCACGCGGGGACAGCTGGGCGCTGCTGGCCATGCCAACGTCATAGCCTGCTGCTGTGCGCACCTGAGATGACCCAGCCGGCTCCGAGACAGCGTTCAGTAAGCGAGGCCTTGGTGAACTTTATCAGAAAGAAAATTTCTTCATTGCTTTCTACCTTCAACTGATCTACCTCTTTTTATCTCTGTTGGTGTCTGTAGCTTAGAGAAATTGCCAACCATTTGATGTCAACCTGAATTTTCAGACAGTTATCATGTAGCATATACCTACACACACACACACACACACACACACACACACACACACACACATTCCTCTGTCTCTATCCATCTATCCAATGAAGACTGCCAGCAATGTATGCTGTTTTTGAATGAACAGCCTCAGAGATATTTCAGAATTTTATCAAATGATCTTAATTTTGCTTATAACAATAGAAAATGCTGCACACAATTAACACTAGTAATAAAAAAGATTAAAATAATCATTAAAATTTCAAGGAAAAGATAACATGAAAATGTTATTATTTATCTGCCCTGGAAGATGAATTCAATTATATATTTTAGCTAACTTGCCACTTTTCTTCTTGTGATTCAGAACTCAGCAAATGCATACAGCTACCCAGTGCTGGCTAATAAAACACAAAAGTCAAATTAGAAATAAGTTTAAATATGTAAAAGAAAACGTGTATTTAAAACGGATTACATCAACATTGGTACCATGAATCTTTCAAATTACATTTCAGGCACTGGAACAATAGACTTGTTTTTCCCAGATCTCATAATTAAACACAGAATATAATTTATCTTAAGTAGAAGTCTCTTGCTTAAAGTACAACTGCAGATGTGTTCTCACGCTATTGTCTCTAAGAAGTGGCGCTATTGTCTCTAAGAAGTGGCAACTTCCGTTTAGCTTGTTCTTTATTTCGGACACATCAACAGGAACACAAAGAAATGTGTAGCCAAGGCAGTGGAAATTGATATTAGCCATGTTTACACTTGGGATAACTGTTTTGAAGCTTCAGCTGTTTTGTATGTTTCCTTAGAATTCAATTTTCTTTTAGACATGTTTAATCAGTTTCACATGACTCTATAGAACATATTTGTCCATTTGAAGAATATTTTATTTTAGTAACGGCAAGAGTCTAGCCCAGTGTCAGCCTTAAAAAAACTTAGTCTAGTAATGCAGTTGAGCAAATTGATCATTGTAATGCCATATGGTGAAGGTTAGAGTTCGAAAAGTGCCTGCCTCAGGGAGTCAGGGAAGAGACTGAGATTTTTGACAGAACCGAATGGTTATAAGAAGTAGAAGACCAGCAGACCTCAGATGGCCAATACTTCCTCTACAAGCTCTGGGATTCCATATAGGAGCTGGTTCATGGCGTGGCTGTTCCATTTCCTATCCAGCTCCCTGCTTGTGGCCTGAAAAAGCACCAGAGCATGCCCAAAGCCTTGGGACGCTGTGCCGGCATGAAAGTTACCAAAGAAGTTCGTGGCTCCTGGTCCCAAATGGGCTCAGCTCTGGGTGTTGCAGCCATATGGACAGCGAACCTCTGCATTGAGGACCTTTCTCTATCTCCCCTTCTCCCTGTAAATCTTCCTTTCCAACAAAAATAAGAAAATCTGAAATCAGTAGAGCATCAGATTTCAATGATACAACGTTTTGATGTAAGGTTCACACAGAACGGCGGTTGGAGAAGGGAGGCTACCCGGAGGAAGCTTGCATCTTGTGATATAAGGACTATATCCCGCATGCAGGGAGGCATGTGACAGCAGAGCCTCTTCGCTGGCTGAGAACATTGTAGGTGTTTGCTCCATCTCACTGGATGATACGACTCTTAATAATCAAAAGGTGTGCTGCCTGGCCACGTGTGTTCTTATTTTGTGAAATGGCTATGAAGCATCCTAGGTCTGTGCTATCTCTCCTCTATGTAGAAGATTCACGGATTGAGATGAGAGGCAATGTGAAATACTTAACCCTCTTTTCTGCCCCAACCTTTCAACTTGATTGAAAGATTAGAAAGAGCAAGGTTTGCTTAAGTGCACAGCAGGTAAGTTTGTATCTTCTTCCTTACCCAGATATGTTATGTGACACTTTCTCTCATAACATTAAATTTTGTTTCTTCTTCTTCTTCTTCTTCTTTTTTTTTCTTTTAGAATCAGGCTGACTGACAGGATTGGAAGGTTTTAAATCAAACTGTCTTTTGATTATAAATACAGTTTTTAAGTCTGTGATGAATAACCTTCCAGGGACTGAATGACATTCAATAAAAAAATACAATTTGTTTAACCTGGTTGTGATGTTTTCTCACTCAAAAAACTGAAAACATTATGATGGCTGCCAGGCTATATTACCTGCTGCTTGATTTTAAGTGATGTCTGCTGCATTTCTGGGTAAATTTAAATGGATGTTTTCTTTTTCTTATCTATACAACAAAAAGTAGGAAGATTCAGTGTTTTTCTGGTATCATACTGAGTATGCTGGGAATTTAATATTAAATGGCTTTGGGAGAAAAGTGGCTTTTATACAGCAAAGCATGACAGATTATAAACCTCTCTATCACTCTAATCAGTCTTTTGACATAAAAATAATAGAGCTGCACACTACAGTGTCTTCCTCCATCTCAAGCATGATGCTTTAGGTGAAAATGTAATGCAGAAGGTTACTCAGTGGAAAGTGAAGCGAGGCCTTCTGGAAAGATGTTTGTTTTCGTATTTGTGTTGCTTTGCAAGGCTAAGCAACACCCTTTAGTTAATCTCATGGATGCTTTGACATCTGTCACCTGAAGTGTGTGACTAATCCAGATTCTGATTCAATAGATTGGAAGAGATTAACCTGTTCACAAAATTTTCATTTCACGGGTGAGCTCTCTAGATTTCTATTTTACCTGACTTCCTAATGCTCTGAACATACTGTGCAATCAAAGAGCCTGGTTTCAACTTGCATTGTCACTTCCCTATCCTTTATGTTTCCTCTCTGCTTTAGGATGGCTTTCTTTTCCTTCTTAAAATTACAGAGCCTGTGAAAACTGATGGAAACCTTTGTTTGGGAAGATTTTTAAAGATCTATTTTTTTTTGAAAGGCAGAATAAGCAGAAATGAAAGAGGAGAGATAGAGAGATAATCTACTCCTCCATGAGTGCACTATCCAGTAGGCGTGGGCCACCCCAAAACCAAGACCCGGAGGCTCCACCCTGAGTGGAGCCCACGCTTGTGGCAGAAGCCTCAGCGTCTGTGTTCTCTTCTCCTGCCTTCCCAGATGTGTTAGCAGGAACCTGCATGAAAAGCAGAGCAGCGTTTTGGTAAGTAATGCTGACATGGCAAGAAGCAGATCAAATCAATGCTACGCCACGGCACCGGTCACCAATGCTTGCTTTGTATGTGGTACAAACATTGACTTTCTCTTAGGGTTTGAGAATGTAAATCATGCTTTTGGGTATTCTACTACGTCTCACGTTGAAAACTCCTGGTGGGTCATCCCTGCTATGTGGTGCCTCTCACTATTAACATTAACAACTTCTTTAGACACCCAGGGTGCAAAATCTCAGTTTATTGAAAAAACTGTCTTAATCGAAGAATGAAGGTTTTGGTCAATAGTACACTATCCTGACACCTATTTATTAGTAAAGGGTAGGAATGGATAACTCAGAAAGAGAATCAAACATAGCGTTCCATTCATCCTGAGGAGTACGTCCTGCAGTGGGGGATATGGCAGTGTATGCTATGAATGAGATTGCAGCGTGATACATGTTAAATAAAGCATCTGAACAGTCTGATTTGTTCGTTCCGTAAGTACCCACCGTGGAGCTATGTTCTGTTTAGTGTTTTATCTGTTGTTATTTAGCTGTTTATATGTGTTCTACAGATTATTGAGGCCTAGTCTATCTTATTCTGTCTAATATTTCTACCATTCTATCTGTGTGTGTGATGGACTAAATTAAGAAAAAAATCGACAAGACAGAGATGATGGACTCCAGCAAAAGTTAAATCTGAAGCTCTGTATATGACAAAGACTTGCTAATTCCTGGGTGGCCAGGAAATTGCATTACTTTTACTTGTTAATTCCTCTTACAAAGAATGTTGAAGTTTTGACACAAAATTGAAGACAAAATTTTCATAACTTATATAAAATACAAAACGAACATGAAGAAGAAAGTTGCTGCCACAAAGAAACAAATAATTTTGCCTTAGTGCCTAAATATATGTTCTTAGCCATGTGTAGCAGATGTCATATTCAAATTTTAATAAAAAACATCAGCACTTGTTCATAAGTGACTGGTAAGACGTATCATTTTTTATGTTATGTACCCTAAATATTAGAACTTAAAAAAAAAGTAACCTGGGTCCAATACAGTGGCCTAGCAGCTGAAGTCCCCACCTTGGACTCACCAGGATCCCATATTGGCTCTGGTTCTAATCCTGGCAGTTCCATTTCCCATCCAGCTCCCTCCTTGTGGCCTGGGGAAGCAGTCAAAGACGGCACAAAGCCTTAGGATGCTGCACCGGTGTGGGAGACCTGGATGAAGTCTCTGACTCTTGGTTTCGCATAGGGGCAGCTCCAGCCATTGCGGTCACTTTCCAGTGAATCATTAGATGGAAGATCTTCCTCTCTGTCTCTCCTTTTCTGTGTATAGCTGACTTTGCATTAAAAATAAATATATCTCAAAAAGAATGAAATAACCCTATTTCTCAATGGCATCAAATTAGTCTCCCATGTGATCACTAGTATTTAAACAGGTGAATAAATAAACTTGAGAAATTAATAAAAACAATTTCCCCAGTGTCTCCAACACCAGCCTTTTGATGCTGCTAAAGCACTGTGGCGTCAGAAAATGCTGCTTTATTGTAAACCTATTCGCTTCACAACCAATAATTAAAAGGTTAAAAATCCCATCTCTTGTCCGTGTGGGATAGAATGACTTGTTTGTTGGCCCCGCTTTCCATAGCACTGAGTCATCCACAAAAGTTAATATTCAGTTTCATGTCAAATTTAGCCTATTAAAGGACTCACTTCTAAGCTAGTTACAAGAACTCATTTCACATTTAAACTAAATATTAAAGTGATTTTTCACATTCTTCTGTCAATTTTATTCAGCTATTCAAATAAAATGGGAAGCAGCTTAAGAGGAAACTGGATGAAGCTGAGGCTGCTCAGGGATGATCTTATGTAA